GATAGGGTTTACGAGGGTTGTTCGGCCGAGTTCGTGGACGATGTCAATCATCATAGCGAGCTCTTAAAGCAACGCCTGTGCGAAGAGAAAATTCGGACTACTGCACATTCATTCGATAGAATTTTTTGATGCAGTAATTTGGACCCACAATGCATCACTTGTTTTAGCTACGTTCTCGCGAGAATCACGGCAAATGTTCAATAAAAAGTTTACTTGACTTGATTTAATGGATATATACTGAAGATGAATAGAAAACAAAACGTTCTTCATTAACTTTCCACACTGTTCAGTCTTTTTCTCGGTATATTGCGACTTATATACGTCATGTGACGTCAGAGTCTAGACGCACCAAATGTCAGGTGCGGTTTGACGAGCCCGATCTAAATCAAAACAATCTATACGAGTTTGCGCTCGCTCTAACGGTCGCACCGTCAACATATTAGTTATAGCGAGCGCAGCGAGCGTCGCGAAGCGACGCTCGTCACTGCGAGCTCTTAAAGCAACGCCTGTGCGAAGAGAAAATTCGGACTACTGCACATTCATTCGATAGAATTTTTTGACGCCGTAATTTGGACCCACAATGCATCACTTGTTAAAGCTACGTTCTTACGAGAATAGCAGCAAAAGTTCAACTAAAAGTAAACATGCCATGATTTAATTGATAAATATTGAAGATAAATAGTAAACGAAACGTTCTTCATTTACTTTCGGCACTGTTCATGCTTCTTTTTGGAAATGTAACTTACATACGACGTCATGTGACGTCAAAGTCTAGACGCACCAAATATCACGTGCAGTTTGACGAGCCCGATCTAAATTATAACAAAATAAAATATAGATCTGCGCTCGCCATAACGGTCGCACCGTCAACATATTATGAATAACAGCACCAACATGTCCTTTGTTATTTTCAATAGCCTTCAATCTAACAAGTTTCCTTTCTTGGGATAGAGAGTCTTTAACATAGACATAAATGACAAGTTTTATGACTTTGCCATATTAAATTTACTTAGCTATCGTCAACATGCTGTGTACGCGGCCATTTTTTCTGTGTTTGTGACCTTTAACTACGCATCCCGATCCCGACCTTTATTAAATTTGCATTACGCTCAATTTTTTTCAAACGGTCATCTGGACCGATGGTTTCTTAAATGTTACCGGACCAGACAAATTTTTACCGGCCTTGCCGACAGGACCGACGGATTTCGACAAGTCTGTCAATCATGAAAGAAAATTGGGATATGGGGCTTGGCTGTGATTGTGCGTACCATACTCAATCAATAAGTATTTTTTCAATTAACCCGATTAAACTCCGTAAAAAGCAAGACATAAAATACCATCCCTTAATGTTTATTTCATTTCATTTCATATACAATAAATTGTATTTTTGACCAAAGCGCAGCATTTTTTTTATTCTGAAAATTTTATTTTACATTGCCGAAATTCTCATCATGTATAATTGGCTATATAACAGTCCGATTAATGGTCTTCATTACAATTTGTGCATTTACGATATAAATATTGTTTTTCTTCTTTAATTAAATAAAACAACAATAAATAATAATAAAAAAATTTTACAATGTAAAATCGATGTTGTTCTCAGACCCTTACTGATCAAAGAGGAACAACTCTGAAAATGTAGGAGATGTTTATTTTTCTCCCTTTATTCACGGTTTTCCACAGAATCAGATACATTTACAGCAAGACCTGATAAATCCGAAAATTGAATACTATAGACCTCATATACACAATGTAAGTATAGAATTGAAAAGAATTGTTCACTTGTACTGAAATTATCTGCATTTATGAATATCCTATTGCAGCAAATCGTTTGACTTTCTGTTAACAATGTCGGTTCGCATTTCCTCGAATCAAAACAAAACGTAGCCTATTAGATTTTAAAAAAAAATATCAAAGTGCGATTTGATTTAAATTGAAATAGATGAAGAGTTTAATGTTTGATATTTTGAAGTTAATGTGGACGAATACGGAATTTTCATTTTAACTTTAGAAGCGACGACATTGAAAGAAATGCGTACAATCTGTAAATGGGTCAGATTATGTCTGACATGTTCATGTATATCATGAGGGGTGTACATCTATGCAAATGTCGATGTATCCCCACGGCCACATACTGTCTCGTTTGAAATAATGACATGAAAGAAACTACAACTATTCCATTTATATCACAGGAGAGTTGAACATACATCATTTTTTTAATGAATGAAATTAAAGAAATAAAATTAAGAATCAACATATTCAAGTTCAACAAAACTTGAATTCGTATCCAGGTTTCATGTTATATGTAATGCATAACGCATACATATATGGACTAAACACTAAAATCCTTCAGTAATTTTTTCCTGAAACATATAAAAAGAGTAGTCAATATTTATTCTGCATTCATGAATTTAAAAACTAATGCACACCTCCGGGATTCAAATGACGAAATACCAGTATATTTGCACTGTAAACGACGTTTCGTCAAACGCTAATGGTCTGCGACGCAAAAAAGGAAGGGGTGGGGGTGATAGGCCTAAGGGGTATTCAAAAATTTCCTTAAAATCTACATTTAAATACGCTTTACATATGAGAACTTTTAAATTTGTAAGTTAATATATTTTTGAAGCAAAGGCAATATTCCAATTTAATTTCTTGATGTGTATTTGTAGATTCATATAACAAAGTGATCGACCCCTGTCTGAAAGACGCGCAGGAACGTGATTTATTGAGAAAGGGGGAGGGGGTAATTTTCCGCTATGAAATCAAAACTGGTCGTACAAAAATTATACAAAAAATTATGAAGATTATTTTTACTACCAGCTACCTAAAGAAAGTTTTTTTTTACCAAAATTAAACGACAGGTTTTTTCACAAAAAAATTTTGAATTTGCAAAATACGCAATTTTCAAGGCTTAGATAATTCGTAGTTTTTCAGTTTAAGGTCTTTAAAAATTATTTTGATGATATGTATATCAAAAAGATGACTGCGTTTTTGTGCTAAATGGTTAAAGGAATAAGCCAATGAAATTTGACATTTATATCTAACCTGGCTTTTTTGAAAATCAAGGTTTAAGTAGTTCATTGATTAACAATTTTCTCTCCTTGTAAACAACTAAAGGGGGGTAACTTTTTGAATATCCTGTCCAAAAACCACTCGAACGATTTTGTCCAAAATGCGCATACATGCAGTAGATATAGTCATGTACTAAATATACAAAAATAACGAAAATTTTTGGGGTAGGTGTGTTGTACATCCTTAAGGACTTTTACATTGATTCATATTCAAATTATAGCTTATTATTTTGATTCGTAAAAAAAAAAGATCAATTTGGGAAGATAAAGGGAGACCTCATTGAAAGCGACAAAAATGATGACGTTGTTGAACGTTACAGAGCAGCAGATAACGATGCAATTTTGTGTTATACTCAGGAAAAATCCTGAATAAACTCTAGAAATGTTAAATGAATCAAAAAGTATGTCAAAATTAAGTTGTGTATGGGTTTATAGATGGTATAGGCAGTATTTGAATGACAGAGACTCTGTATCGGAAAAGGACAATCTGTCAAGACACGGTTTATCTAATAAAAGCTGATCCAAAACTTTAAAAATTTGGAAAGTCGTGGGAAGACAAATTGCACTTCCGAGTTGCTGATCTTGTAAAAGCGGTAAAAGAAATTAAAATATTGACAAATTATACAGCAGGAAAAATTGTTAGACATGAATTTAAAGTTCTAGAAAAAGGTTTTTAATAGGTGATTATTGAACTTCACTGTTGAATTGTATAGGATAGTATTTTTAAGAAATTCTTGACACTGTGTTTTTGATATTACATCGCCATGAAGTATTCTCTGTGGGTACAAAACATGTTGATTTTAAAATGAAGGAAATTAATTTCTATTCAATTGAATGAAATGAAACTTCACACATCAATAAAACAAATATTATTACACAGGATATTATTTTAATTTTCTTGCAAGTATAGTATAACGAAGATTGACATCGTCTACGGACCTTTCAAACAACCCTCGTATAATGTGTAAAAATATTTGTTTTGTTGGTGTGTTTTATTCCAATCAATTTAACAGAAAAAACTAGCGTCAAGAATTTGTCAAAATTCCTATATCTACGGATTTCACACATTGTAGTCCAATACCCTCTCATTAAAATCCTTAACTCGACATTTATTTATTTTTTTTTTTTACATTTTTTCTCGTTGTACAGTTTCCTTTGTTAATGTTTTAATTTCCCGTATCATCTAACTGTGCTTTCATAAGATCAGCAACTCTGAAACGCCTAGATGTCTTTCAATTACACTCCAACTTTTAAAAGTTTTTGTTCAGATTTTTTCAGTTAAATTGTTTTTTTTCACAGATTGTCCTCGTTTGATACAAAGTCTCTGCCACTTAAGTAATATTTATAAACACTTGCACGACTTACCTGTGACATATTTTTGATTCCTCTAATATTTAAGAGTTTATTCAGGATTTATCCCGAGTAAAACACGGAATTGGATATTTATCTATAGTGCTCCGTGACGTTCTGTAAAATCATCGCTTTTGTCGTTTTCAATGAGGACTATTTATCTCAGGTTGACTTCTTTTGAACGAAGCAAAATATTAAAACCATAATTTTAAATATGAATCGATGTTACTGTAACAATTCATATTTTGACCATCTATGAGTTTTTTTGGTTTTGCTCAATTTTACAGAGAATATGACTACAAACATTATTTTGTGAATTGTTTGTAAATTACTAAAGTTTTACTCTCTCTGCAATCCGATTTTGCATTTCTTAAATCTGTATAAGTTTAAAACAAATCATGATATTTAAAACAAAATTTATAGAAATCATTTGATGTTATTGCTAAAATACTTGTTTTATATTTGGATAACATATGATGTCAAAAAAGAAAAAAAAAGATAGATAGAAGTCAAAGAACTTTTCAAACAACCCTCGTATATTAATATTGTTAACAAAAATATGGAATTACAAAATGCTAAGTTAAAAGTTTTAATTAATGTCTTCTTCCCTACAAATTATCAGCATTAATTTTTTTAATGTTTATCTTAAATTAATTCACATATTTCTTTTCTCGATACAATCAAGAAATCTTAAAATGTTCTGTTCCTCCTGACTGAATTGTCCTTCTTTGCATTGCCTGTATGATTCTTTTACACTAACTAGGGCAAGGTCCCATCGTTTTTCTATTTGGTGAATCCGCGCATGGGCAAAATGATAAATCATTTTCCACCTCAATTCCATCCTATCCCAGTCACGGAGAGCATAATCCAGGCATGATTTAGCGTGTGTTAACTGAGACGCACTTACAGAAACAGGAAGAATATCACAAAATAATCCAATGCTTAAGTAAATAAAAGATGTTTTTAGTAGTACAATTCGACGAAAATCGAAATATACATCGTCTCTTTCTTGTGCAAAGTGATCCAAGGATTCTTTAGCCATTTTAATAAGATTTTCTCTCAGTAACTGATTTAAAGTCAAATCATATTGCTGACATAAAAGGTTGTAATATATTAATAACACTATTCCAGTTTCTCTACATGGCTCTATACGTTCCCCAGTTTCTGATGCTTCTTGGGCAGCTTTTAGGCCATCTTCCAGTAGATTATTATTAGACATTACCATTGCAGAAGCTAACCTTCCAAGATATAACATTAAACTAACTTTTGGATTAGATGTTTTGTCAATTATGCTTTTCATGTCTTTTAGGACTCTATCACCAAATAATGTTTTGTCATACTTCACTCGTCTGTATTCTATTTCAGCATCCAAAGAAATGAAATATAAATCTGCAACCTTTAGCTTTTCTTCTTCGCTGACAGAATGTTCCGATAAACTTAGCCAGTATGCCTTTAAAGCATTACGTTCTATGTCAAACTCTTTTCTTTTTGAATTCAATAATAAGCGTTTTAAGCAATGTCGTTTTGCAACCATTTCTTCCCTATTTTCATTGAAAACTTGTATTCTTCTAACTGGACAGTAGGCTCTTTCATACCAAGGAATTTCAACTGAAAATTTGCCTTTTCTTTTGCGTCTTTTAATTTCATCAAGTTTACCTTCTAATTCATTTGCAAGAAAAGAATATGCATTTTCTTGTCTTAAAGCCAAAAGAAAAACTGTAAAAGGACAATGCTTTTTCAAAGAAAGAACAAACATTCTTGTTACTTCCGTAGGCACTATGCTTTTCTCTCTCAGACGAAAAAGGAAATCTTCTGGAATAACGTTCTCCTGGAATAGGTAGTCATGGAGCTGTGAAGGTTCCAGGCATCGTACTATTTTGGTATGAAGTTCTTGCATTGCCAATTTTTCATCTTCATCCATTTTCCACCTTTAAAATAGAGAAATTGTTAAAATAATTATTTCTGTTATATACATTGTATTTTGGAACTGTTATACTTATTTGGGATTTATCGAACACCTCTCTCAACTTCTGTTTTAACCTCATTAACTTACAGAAACAGGTGTTTAATTTTTGAGGAATTTAATTGATAATTTATCCTAACCAGTTGATATGAAAATGGCTTTTGAAAATGGAATTTTCCCCACAATATTCCGGTTAATCAGTCAATTTCATTTAAAAAAATATTTATAATACCAGAAACTTTGCAAACAAATTTTGTTTAAAATTAGATCAAAGATAGAAATATTGTTGTTTTATTTGAATTCGCCCACTTGTGATGAGGGTGAAAGAGGGGTCAAAAATGCATGTCTCTATATTCAGAGATATGACATTAAATACATACAAAATCAGTACAGCCTTTACTAAATAATTCCGTCTGTTTCAATAGCAAGGATGGTCAATAAAAATGTGGAAAAGGACAACTTAAGCTGGAATTGATCGTTTTAGAAAATTTTGTCAAGATTGTACGAGCCATCTATGCAAGAACATATACGAACAAAATTATAGATCTAGCCATAACAATAAGTCGGCCCTTCTTTGGTTGGGTGAATAACAAAAATAATAATGATAATGATAATAAAAACAATAATTTTGCTGTAATAATCAGTGCATGTGTTTAAATATGGTCTACAAAAACCCCCTTGAACCTCTGTATTAAATGCAAGCTATGAAATACAAATTGATTTTATCAGAGACCTTTAAACATAACAATAAACGTTAAAGCGGTGGATTTTGCGTGTTTTTTTTTCTTCAAAGGACTGCCTTGGAATTTAAAAAAAAAAACTTTAAATGCTATAAAGTTTGGGTTTTGTATTCAGTGAAAAACTCCCTTCGTGATACATATTTATCACAACAAGATACATGAAGATAAAAAGCTGAAGACATTCAACTGGACCTTCGTAATTAAAAAAAAAATAAAATAAAACTAATAAAAATAAAATAAATAAGATACAGAGAACATCACAAATTCAAACAATAAATTAAATTAATATCTTTATTTCTTTGATACTTTTCTATATTATACATGTAAAGCTAGGTAAATGTACATTAACAAATATGCGAATCACGATGCATTGAAGCACTTTCATCAGCGTTCATACACTAGAATTACAATAAGATGTTTGTTGATTATCTCAGGATGCACTCATTGAGGACACATGTGTACAGTGTCTCACACACGTGCAAAATATTAAGCTTAGAACATTCGACACACTTAAAAACCAATCTACATGTAAGTATCAGCTTGATTATATCGATATCAGTAGGAATACATTCAGTTTCTTTTTTTCCATAAGTATTTAACTATTCAAGTAGAATTATAGCATGTACAATTTAATTATTCAACTCTGTATGCCTTTTGCCAAAATTAGTAAGCAGCTTAATTAAAAGACTTTCCATGCATTTTACAAAAAATAAACTAGTTATCAGGCAAATTATCCTACAAAAGTAAAATGAGTTTATTAAACATGCATAGAAGGACAACATGGGCACGTCACATACTTACAGAACTTTTAATTCAGTAATACCATTATAAACGGATATGAACCTTGCATGGTCATACTAATATCCGGTCAAAACATTCTGTGTTTTAGTTTCAATTTTATGAAATTTGCTTTGGCTTTATCGAAAACCTTACTTTTTAACATTCAGTTGAATTCTTTGGAGGGAAATTTTATACAGCTTTGTAAAATTTATACACATAAAAAGTTAAAACACAACTTTAGCAGACGATATTGATTGTACATTGTAAGTTTTGTTTTGTAGTGTTGTGCATTCATTAAATGTGTCGACCTAACATCTTCCGTTGTGTACTACAGCTTCACATAGTGATTTTAAAAGTTTTTCTCAATCTCGCAGATTTAGTTGAAACTATATATATTTTTATTGCTCGATGGTTGTTTGTTTTTCTATTCTTGGTTTTTTTTTTATCGAATATTTTTTTAATAACAAAAATGCGAAATGTCCTCTTTAAAACTAAAGAAACAATTTCAAAGAATATTGGTACAAATAAATTATATATTTCCGGAAGGAGTTGTGTGAATGTCATGATCAAAATCATCAGGTGCCTAATTAAAATTCTCAAACCTCTTAAATTAATACAATAAAAATTATTCTTTAGTCCTGGGGTTTAATAAAACGGCACGGGTGTCTATCTGTGATAAAAATGACACAAATGAGTCTTTCAAACTTTATTTTCTTCTATCCTAAAAATTCCCCCAGATGTAGGCAAAATACATATTGTTTTTAGTTACATGTAAAAGCTACTTCGTGTTAAAAAAGTGTCTGTAAAAATCTTGTGTACTTTTAACTTATTTTAAGATGAAAGAGTACACAAATTATTTTACTAAAATCATGAGGAAGGAGAACAAAGTGTATGAAGGCTTGGTATTTTTGAAAGGCAGAAATGATTTCAGTTTGTTCCCTTGTAGTCCAGGACTTAACTCTATAGAGTATAACGATAAGGGACAAGATAGATAGATCTAGAGTGAGAGAACTTCTTTAGCTACATAATCTAGCGTCACTATTAAAAGAGAGATCTAGTCAACTGATTGAATAACCTTCGACAAAGATTGCTTTAATGACACATGAAGTATATTAGAAATTCAAAAGGCATTTCTTTTATTTATTTCACGGCGATTAACTAATTCTCTTGTTTCGATTTACTCACGTAGTCCTCTTTTCGTGCTTTAAGCACATAAGGACTGTACCAAGGACATCCATCTTTGTTTGCTGTCATTTACTGTACCATGCCTCAAGTCCATCCCTGATATTTCATCCCTTTTTCCTCTGACCGTCGCTATGTCTCCTTTGGTCGACCTCTAATTCACTTTCCTGGTGGAGTCCATCATAAGGCCACCTTTGGTTTATCTGATGATTTCATTCATTCATTCCAATGGCAGCTGCGTGCGTCTTTCAAACAGCTCCTAATTGCTGATCTTGTTTGGCCAGAATATCTTGAGTATTCTACGGAGACATTTTGTTTGGGGGGTATCTGTTGTTTGTCACCTTCCAAGACTCAGATCCATAAAGGAGGACTTCAGTGACATTTGTTTTGAATATTCCGATTTATCCTCATATAAAGTAAAATAATCGATCAAAATCATAACAACCGAGATTACTAGGGTTAATCTACAAAGAGAAAATGGGGTTGTTTTTATAAAATACTGGATTCCATCGAATGTTATTTTCTGCTACATATTACCTTTATATTCGCCAATAGACTCGCTTCCGTTTTTATAATCACAACAATTGTTCCTTCAGATCTTTAAATAAGGAGATACTGTGATATAGAATCACATGGTTCCAACTGTGAAGGCCAAAATGGAAATCCATGACTTCACCACAACACTCTGGATGTTGGTAATGCAAACAGTTCATGTCTTTCTTGTTTGAATGCTTTGATTTCTGATAAGTTGTTGGTCTGAAATTTGTTTATACATGTTTATATATATTAAAAGTTACAAAAAGTGTCTATCACACCCCTCTCAACCCCCTTTTCACCTTTATTGAGTTCATAATGTACTCTTTTAGAGCTATTTCTCATCCATTATATTGAGTAAGCATTGCCTGTGATTGTGAATGTTGAGAGCATGTTTTCTATCCAGGGAGGAAACATTTGTGATGCAAAACAAATTCAGATATGAGGAGCAGGAGCATGGCACCTGATCCCACCTATGATGTTTTGGAGGTCCGTGATTGCTCTGCTCCTATTTCTTATAGTTTTATGAACTTTTGCTCCTGAATACTGTTCGTTATCTCTATATGTTTCATTCTTCCTAATAATACAGATGTCATTCTCAAGTGATATTCTGGATTTTGAGCAAAGGATTCCCAATTTCTTAATTTAATAACTTACCTGTAGCCGTCCTTGAATACTGTCCTTTATTTTAAACAATGAACAAATGTTTTACTTATTTGACAGTTACAGGTATTCAATGGACTGTCTTGGGCCTTTCAAGAAATATAAAGTATTTAAAGAACAAAAAGAACAAAATATGATATCATTCAAATGTTTTAAAGATAACACAAAGAACTCATTGCAAAAAATTATTATCAGTTTATTTTTCATTAAAAAAAATTCAGTTTAATTATGACTGAGCATTATTAATTGTTAATTCAGGGTCAGTATACAAATCACGGCATTCTTTGTTTACATCCTTTGCCTCTCTGTTGCTGAAATAGTTATACAGCATAACACCTGGTACCATCAAAAGCAGACCAATGAGTGTGAATGCAGTCGTTTCGTTAAACACCGGGTGCCATCGGAAAACATTGTCTTGCACATTAAATTCAAAAAATGTCCAGAATATGGAGGCTATGGGACCAACTAGTGACTGCACCACGGCGGCGAATACAGCCCCTTCAGTGTATTCGATGAGGAGAAATTGAAAGAGATTTGCAAACGTGTATCCTCCAAAGAAAATCCACGACTTTCCAATGAGACCTCTACAGTCCGAACTAGTGCTGAACAAGCATGTCGTCCCTCTCTTGTATCTGGTAGAGAATTCAGAAAAAGAACTAGCCTGGAAGAGAGAAAAGGATATACTTAGCAAACCATCAAAATTAAATTATCGTTAAAATAAATAAAAGATGGAATTTTTGATATTTTATGTGTTTATTGAAACCCACCATTCCAAATCCTGGGATAAAGTCAGTCCAAAATAAGCACACCATACAAATGATCTGAGTAAATTGTGACCACATAATGAAGTTAAATGATTTTGCCTGAAATTAAATTGAAAAGAAAAGTTATAAAATAAAGCTTACATTATCTTTAACAATAAGACTGCCAATGTCAACCGTTTCACAGTATACATACTTTACATCCACTTTTTTTTAGTTTAGAAAAGTGATCAAATTTAATAAAGAAAGTAAAATACCTCACTGTTTTTTAATTCCTTTTCACATATAACATTCATAAGTCCAATTGGTAGAAATCCCAACGCAAAACAAAGTGGCCATAAAATTCTAGCAGAAGTTGATTCATCGGCAGTGTTCGAATCGTCTGCAGAGTTGATGCCGAATATTTGGGGTTCAGCAGTTATAAAAAGTCCCGCCATCACCAGGCACGTGCAAAGTGCACGCACAACACTTATTCCTATCAAATAGTAAGAAAGAATTGTTTGAAATATGCCATTTACAAACCAAATACAGTAAATTACATATACAACATATACACACTTTTGAATGCAAATGAGGGAAATCAGAAATTAACTTGCTTTTAAGGTAAAATCTTAACACATTGCTACATAAGTATATCTACAGAATAAATGATTCAATCCAATAAAAAAAAAGATGTTTACTTCTGATGATTAAAAATTTTCGAAGCTGTCAGGACATACATATAAATGTGCATCATTATAAAAAAAATCATGAAAATGCTTGTATCCCATGCATTCTATAATTTTGCTGATCAAATGCTGCAACCTCCCTTGGTGATTTATGGATAGTAAATATTTAAAATTCAGTTCCGAGTAATTCACATGTAATTATATATGCTTTTAACAAAATAAATAAAATAAATTGCTTAGGCTATACAGCTAAGGATTTTTAATTTCAATGATTAACTTTAAAAAAAAATTAATTGTCGAAACTGTTTCAGACCTATTAATTTCTTTTATATGGCAGGTATGTGTATTATCAACAAATGTCAATTATTTTAATGTATAAGTTAAACATGAATCAAGTTGTAAAATAACATAATAATCAAAGAAGTTATAAATGCTTTTAACCTAATTGACTCGTACAACTAATATATACATAAATACAAGAACTTAAATGTCGTATTACCGTGACGATGTTTGAAATAAATATAAATTAAAGAATTAATTATATTTTTTATTTCCTTATGTATGATATGATAAGGAAAAGATCATAAATATAACACGTTGCAAAAACTGTAGATTATATGATTATATAAATAAATATATTGAGTATTTGTATTCTAAATAAGTTTAATGTACATATACCACATAATCATTATATAATTAACAGCATATAAAACGACCTTTGTTCTATGAAACAAGAGCATTTAGATTAAAAGTAATTAGATAGTTTGGATGAAAAATATGCACAATTACATTTAAACTTGATTATATACATATAAGCTATAAGCAATATACCTTTCCGGAGAAAAATAAGCCGGCATATTATTGTAAAAGGAATAGTTGTTGTTGACAAAATCCCTTGTAAGTATCCCGGTGTCCTATTTGGAGGACTAGCAAACACAACTAGTATCCCGTTAAGTGCAGTAAAAAGTCCCAGAGCAAAAATTATCTTTAAACTGGATGTCAATCTAAAAGTAGTGGATTTATCTATGAAGACTTTGGCAAAAACATTAGTCAATACAAAAAGAACTCCAATAACGAAACATGTATTCAGTAGCAGAACAAAAGCATCTCCACCAATTTCATCCATAGTACCAGCAAACACTGGCAGGCTCACATTCATTGCAACGTTTGAGAATACATTTAAAATCGCCAAAATAACATTTCTTGTGACCCCCTGGAACCGAAAGTTTCCTGTTTTTCCAGACGTCCATGCTTCTTTTACACGTTTGTCCCACATTTGACTTTCTTTTAAAAGAGGAGATGTTTCTTCGTTCTTCTTCATTTGCTTTGGTGAAGGTATGCGCTATCCTGTCAATTTGTTATACCTACGATTAAAACCTTTTACATGTGATTTATTTATCAGTTCAATTAGGGCATTTAAGTAAGGAAGATATGATATTTTAGGTCATTTTAATCTGAGCATCACATGAATCTACAATCCGTTATCATGTGATATTGTTTACCTCATTACTCAATATTAAATGAACGTATGTTTAAAGAAATCAATCAACACATGAAATCATGCATGATTTATGTACCTTGATGATATTGTCAGTAATTTTTTGCTTTTTATGAAGATTTGTTTATTGATAAATTAAGTAAAATATTTTAATTCCTACATACAAGGAATTGCCACATCATTATGTACTAGAAGTAGGTAAAAAAAAAAGAAAAATCCAATTTCATAAGAAAAGATTCCGAGTGCATTAGCGTAAAACGTGCTTCAGAGACCGTGCCCCCTGTCTCTTGTTGCTACCTGTCGATATATGCGTATTTTTTGTGATTAATATATACTCACCATCAATAGAAACGCAACACCCTAATTTTAGGTTGAAAATTATAGTACGGGTTATAACTATGTACCAAAAAAAGTTAGGACATCTTTTACTTTCCCAAATCAATTATTTAACGTTGAATGAATTTCTTCCCACTACCGGAAGTTGCTTTTTAGCAATCTTAACAGAAATCAAAATTTTGCATTTTTAATAAAATTTTTGGATTTTCAAGGTTTTTTAGCTGTTAATCATAAGTCTTGTATAAAATCAAGGGGAAAATCTTTCTTTCTTTACTGGATGTGATGCCTTTATTTCCTCAAAATGATTGATTTTCATTGCTAATGCTGGAAATTCTAAAAATAAAGAAAAAAAGAGCTGCAGATACAAATGTACACTATATAACGACTCATCAGGCTTATGTGTTTCAATAGCATAAATGACAGTTTCTTGACCGGAAGTCCAAAAGTTGCTACGCTACGCCAAGTTAGAGAAAATTCGACTGCAGTATCTGAGACTGCGCCATCAGTCATTTTGAGGTAACATAGGCATCAAATTCGGTAAAGAAAGAAGGATTTTTTCCCGGCATTTTAGTATAGTACTTATGATTAACAGCTTCAGAACCTTGAAAACCCAAAATATTGTTAAAATTTTATTAAAAATGCAAAATTTTGAATTCTGTTAAGAGGGTAAAAAGCAACTTCCGGTAATGGAAAGAAATTCATTCAACCGTTAAATAACTGATTTGGCAAAGTAAAAGATGTCCTATCTTTTTTGGTACATAGTTATAACCTGTATATTAGGTTCACCCTAAAATTAGGGTGTTGCGTTTCTATTGACGGTTAGTATATTCTGATTAATCTCATTTAAATGCATAAATTGAGATATTTTAACCCCCCCCCCCCCGAGTTTAATGACATTTTCACATATATATACAATATTATCATATCTAAGGTTATAATGAAAATTACATTTCACTATTGATGTTATGTTAATTCATATGAAGTATCTCAACTAAATATTCATAAGGTAATTGTTTATCAAATTTACGTTCATGCACATCAATGATAAAATCTTGGGCGATATCTATTTGTAAACAGACCGAAAATGTTTTCATATAAGCATTTTGTTTTATAACGCACAAGTTTAACCATGTAGGAGAGCCATCTACCATTTATTACCTCTACTGGCTGCAAAATGTCACCGCCAACAGCGGATATTTATGTACATTATTTAATGGCTAAAAGGACTTAGTGTATGCATTTATTATAAAATATTTTTCATACTGAATATATTGTACATCTAAGATTTAATTTTGTGATTGGATTATATGTTGATTGTTTGTATGTTTAACTTAACGTCCCTCTCGAGAATTTTTCACTCTTATGGAGACGCCACCACTTGCCGGCGGAGAGCCTATACTCGGCACTCAGGGCCATTAAGCAGTGAGGGATCTTTTTCGTGCCAGCACCTACTTCGACACGAGACCTCGGCTGATACGGTCTCATCCAAAGGACTGGTCTCCAGGTCCCACAGAGAAGAGTTGAGTAGTAATGCATATTAAATTTATATATTCCGTGGTGGTCTTGAATTAATAGGTCTTTCGATACCTCAAACACAACGAAAATAAACCACCACGAAAATTAGTAATTTCACATATAGTCGTCTTTAGAAACCAGATTATTTTACAGTCTGTTTGATATGAATGGATTCTTATTTTGCTCTTATATTATAGCATTAGTTGTGTCAATTCTTGTTTGAAAAAGTATTTGAATGAAAAACTAGGATGTACATCATTAAAGTTTTAAAAATTTATTTAATTCTTCAAATCTAAGCCGAAACAGTTTGACGTAGTATATTTTGAATATTCCCACAACCAGAATGAATTTGAATTAACCATAACTATACTGGATTCCAAAACTTCGCAGAAATCCTTACAAAGATACATAGTGGGTTACAGTTAAGTGTTTTACCAAGCCTCCGTGTTTACCCTTTACTGAAATTTTAACATTAGTGAAGGAGAAACTTCTGATGTACAGTGCAACAATATATTTGAGAATTAGTATGAATCAGGTGTTGATACTTAAAAATTCCAAGGAACTTTTGGAAAATTTTAAATCACAAAATATTACCTAAATCAAAACCACTTTATTTAAGGAATGAATTAAATAGCAACCCAAATTATACTGTATAACCTGGGTGGGGCAGTTTACGCTTTATAAACCGCGAAGCGGTTTATAAAAAAGCGTAAACTGCTCCAACCCAGGTTATAGCAGTATAATCTGGGTTGCTATTTAATTCATTCCTTATAATTTAATTTTCAATCATTAAGAATATAAAACAAGACAATTTCCCTCCTTGAAACGCCTTCAGATTGTTCATATTTTAAACGTAACGTCAAGGGGATTGATACGGTTTTGACGTCATTGTGACGTAGGCAAACCAAATTATACAATTTAGATTAATTTTTTATCCAATCAAATGACACGTTACAACTAAAATTCAATTATATACACTTAACAAAACGTCTGAGTGTTCACTCTAATAAATGTATTTATTTAAAAACTACATGATAGAAAAGTGTGATATTTTCAAATTATTATAACCAATAAGTCTTCTTTAAAACAATGGTTGAAAGAAAACCAATTATCACCGATGAAAACCAATATTCCGTGAGGAAACTTAAAAACAATAAATCAGCTTTGTGGCTCGTGCTTTATGTAATCAGCATTTTTGGTGACCGTTAGCAATTTTAAAAACTGGTTTAACTAAAAAAAAAAATGGCAAAATGACCTTTGAGGAAGGATGGAGAGTTCATTTATTGTGTACTTTTAACATTGTTGTTTATTACTTATTACTTATATTTACATTTGAAATAAATAAATTCCGAGTAAAACTGCATTTATTACACGAACGGGCCGCCGTATTGCTATGTTGTGACGGGCATGAAATGACCTAGAAGATTTTTGGTGGTGAAAGTTCGCCTCGCTCCAAGATTTGAATGTTTAAATTCAAGTTCAGCTGTCCAGTTCAGGAATTATCTGTTTATAATGTATGAACAATGATCCCTGCTGAGAATAATCTTATTATTTCATGAGTTCTTAAAATAATTGAAGTCAAAAGCGGTAGTGTTTTAAAAGCCGGCACAGGAATTTTGGATTAAAAAAGTAAGTGCGGCGTTAGGCTAATATTAGTATTCAAAACATTTTTCACATCAAAAGACGATCTATTGTATCTGTTGATATAAAAATATGAAATATCCATATTAATATTAAATAATTTTAAGTATCCTTTTCATCGGTATTAACTTAGAAATATCCCGAAACTTGTTGCACCGTGGCAGAAATATGTAGGCAAAATATCATCTGGCTGTGAATCGGTCGCGCTATGATTTCTGTCCCCCAAATAAGTTCAAACAGAATTAAACATATTTTCTCTTCAATAGGTACATTTAAGAAAAATATTTGCAAATGTAAATATTAAAAATGAAATTCGTAAATTTAGATACCTTGTCATTGCTCATTTGCAAAATTATTCATTTAAAACATTCACATTGTACACACAAGTACTCTGAATTTGATGTCCAAAATTAAAGATGCTTGAGTTTCTGATTGACAATGTCTATGTTACTTTTGGAGACAAGAAATGCACTTCAGTTTTTGTTTGGTCCTCATTTCGTATCATGTTTGCTTAGTCGGTCTGTATTTAACAAATTTCATATAATATCACGTACAATTAGTCTGATTATTATTCACCAAGCACTCATTATAAATGTATCGTATATGGAAAATAATGCTCCGTATAGGCCCCTATATACATTCTTTTTTGAAAAGGCGTTGTCAAAGCGTTTATCAAATTACGTTGATATATACAAAAATAGAATCAAGTCATGTACATAAATTTCTACAGTACATGCTTTTTCAAGGTAAACTTGCTGGTACTTAAATTATGTAATATGATTTCTAAGGCTTTCTTAAACACTTCCTGGTTATGAAAATCCCACATTACTCGAAGCTTGAAGTTATTTCAGAATAACTTGTGGATGTTTCTTTTTAGTATTTTCTAAAAGTTTTAATCAAAGAGTAATAAAAAATAAGCATCCAAAGGAAAAGACAGCATAATTTGTGTAGTTTTAGAAAAATGAAATATTTGCAACTGAACAAAAACGCGATTTAGCGATAAAAGGTTATCTAGTGAGTCACGAAATTCACCCGTGTTTGCACAGGTAGTATAGGTGATTGTTACGATGTTCACGCCATTTAGAGATAACCGAAGTGGAATATTGCAAATAACAGTCATAAATGATTGATTGCCACTGGATATAGATGCCTTTAAAAGATGAGTTTATCATTCTATCTAAAGTGAATTAGAAATTTTAAAAACTTCCTGAATATTGAAATGTGATTGTGGAAACAGAATTCATCAACGTTGAGATGGGAAACTGTTGGTCCAGAAACAGACAACAGTCGGTATGTAAATATTTAACATTCTTTATGTGCCAACTCTGTCTAGAAAACTTTTTTATTTACGGTCTTTTACTATCACCTGAAGAATATGAGGAAAATGTATTTACACGGAAATAAATTACAAAGACGTGTTTGTGAAACACTGATGTCCCCATATAGCAGCTTATAACAAGGTTAAGGTTTCTCAACGAAAGTCAAAAGGTAAAAACGTACTCGAAAGTGGGTTTTGGCACAAGATATACACAATTGAAATAAGTGTTATAGCCAAAGGTTATAGTTGTTCAAATAAGGTCAAACTCCAAGGTCAACGTTAAAGGGTAAAAATTATTGGCATGCAAGGAAAAGTCTTATCCAAAGGAATGCTTATGTGTAAAATGAAACTCCCAGCTTTATCCTTTCAAAATTTAAGACCGTGGTTAATAGGTCAAACTCCAAGATTTGGGTCAAAGGTTAACAAAACATACACCAAAGGACAAGATGTATCCCAAGAAAAACAATTGTGAAGGATGAAAGCCCTAGCTCCAACTGTTCAATAGTTACTTTAAACATATTTTATTGAATAATACAATAAAGATTGGGCAACAGGCAAGGGTTATGTACACCCTCTCCTTGCAATGTATACTAGGTCAAGATACAGCTATTAAATAATAATACATAACAATGAATATTCATGGCAAACATAACGTTAAAGTTTTGTTCAACTACAAAATTCAAGACCAAGAGGTCAATGAACTACTGTTTGTTTAAGGCAGTCCCAAGTTTTTCCTCAAGAAGTGCACAATTTGAAACGTAAAAGCCATAGCACCATTTATAGTAATGTAACTATGACTATAAAATGGAATTAAATGAGATTTACATTTTTTATGATACGTCATGAGAAACCTTTCTTTTTTCTAGGGTTCAACTGCAAATCAACATAGAAACAACTATGATAATATTAATGTGAGTACATGTATATTTAGAAAACTAATACAATTATAACTCAAATAACAAATTCCACCCAAGCATTACTGATTGAATATCTATCTTAAAATTAGGATATGTCAAGTAATTATCAAATAATGCTTAATTGTACTGAAAATCATATAAAACATATTTTCTAAAAAAGTTATACTCCTACAAAGATAATTATATAGTCATGTAAGTATACGGCCATCAAATGGAAACTGTGTTAAAATCAAAGCAGTTCGGCAAATGACACTCGACTACTATATTCCTACAGATGAAGCAAACTGCAAACCAAGCATCTCTCACATTTTTATGGTTTGTATGATGAAAAAAAACAACTAGTACCAAATTATTTTCTGTCAGTTTGTATGAATCTTGAATATTTTTTTAAAGAAAAGGTAATGCAAACATACATTTACATTTATTTTTTTTTTGTTTTTCGCTCCAAGAGTCACACTTCTAGAGGCAACGTTCATGTTTATGATAAAATCAAGAGTGTAAGTTTTAAGTAGATAAAATTGAATGCATAGTAAAAAAGGAAATGTTTATAATCAGTCATATTTCTGCATGTTATAAATCTACGTGTGGCTTTCTCCTATTCTCTCTTTCCCTTATTTAATTCATCATTTATGATAATTTATTTTAAATTATAAATACAGTTGTACGTTCATTCTTCATTTTTCAGCATGAAGCTACTCGTTCTTAATTTTTGAACAGAAATTTAAAAATCGTATGAATTGCATGTCATATAATGATGTATATGTATTTCATTTACACAGTAAAATTAGCCTAAGAACATCTTTGAGTACTTTGTTATAAACTTAGTGCAAGTATCTTAATATCTTAACTGTCACAATGCATGTAAGTTTCCGTCAAACATCAAATTATTGTTACATGGATACATGTAAATGAAATGCAGTTTTTAACTATCACTATACATGTATATATGTGCATCTTTGTTTGAGGCTACGACGTTGTCTTGCTTATATCTGATTACTAAGATTAGAACTTTTCTCTCTTTATGCAAAAAACTGCTTGTTTTCAAAGAATGAATTTGTGTACTTAAAGACATGCTTAAAAACATGCATTCTACTTTCAGCAAAATCAGAATGATTCCTCGAATGAATATATTGATCTTCAGACATCAGCTGGCACAAAAAGCTCTACGGTAACTGTCATGGGTACTGGCATGTAGTACATGTAATATACCCCTTACATATCTCTTCTACACGAGTTATAACTGAACGCATAGGACACGCTTGTTGATTGCTTATAACTTTTAGCATGATGAATATTTTATGGGGGAAAATGTACAGCTTAGAAAAGAGAATATTAAGTTTCTTCTCAAAACAGTTTCCAATATCAAACTTCAAAATAAACAGATATAGAAAGAAGCATGTCACACTGCGTTTATGTACCATATCAAATGTCAACAAGGATTGTCTTTCACGTGTGAATACATTTTACATAACTTGCAGTAAACATATCAAAATTACAAAAACAAACATTAACATTGAAGATCCAGCGCTCGTCAAGCTATTATTTCTTCAGGTATTCGATTAATCAATCATTTCATTATTCTGTAAAATATTGTCCATTTATCATATTTGTAGAATTCTGAAGGAATTTATGCCGATATTGTAGAGACAAACGTTAGAGTGAGTAATATTTTTCACAGTTAATATAATTTTTCTAAATATCTATATTTCGTAAAGTTTATCATTAAAGAAGATTAAAATCAAAATGTTTTATAATATTCAGATACCACGACTTGGCAAATATCCAGTTATGGCTGCAATAGATTTTGGGACAGCATACAGCGGCTATGCATTTGCACTGAACAGTTCAGAAACCAAAATACAACTTCCAACGTGGTCTGGCAGTGAAACAATGACAAACAAAGCACCAACTGCAGTCTTATTTGGACCAGATAAGTCTTTTCTAAAGTTTGGATACGAAGCTATTGCGTACATGCAAGATAACCCAAACGAAGAAGATCTCGATAAATTTTACTTCTTCCAAGATTTTAAAATGCTACTTTATCAGACAGAGGTTTGTGGGGTTTTTATCTAATATTTCTTTTCTAAATAAAGCGTCGATTATTAATTTCTTTCTGAAATACTTTATCACGGGGGTGCTTTATTAAATAAATGTATTCCATTTACGAGAAGTCGAAAAATAAACTGTTGATCTGGTGTAATCTAGATATTTCTAAAGGAATATCATATGAATTTGAATATTCCTACTTTTAAAAGCATTTTTAACTTTTTTTTAGGATTTATCATTGGAAACTAATATTCAAGATGTAACGGGTCAGAAAAGTTTACCTGCAATTGTAGTTTTCTCAAGTGTTATTAAATTTTTCTCGGACAATCTAATTTCTAATTTTTCCAATCGCTTTGGTGGTACATCTTATGAGCTGAGCGATATATTTTGGGTAATTACCGTACCTGCCATTTGGAGTCTGAAAGCAAAATACTTCATGAGAGAGGCTGCTGCAAAAGTATGTACTTATAAAGTCACAATTTCATTTAAAGTACGACTAAAAACGATTTCATTTTTTGAAGATTAAAGAGTGATTTTCCTGTTCCTTTCTAATTTATTAACAAAGATGTACAAATAAAAAACATTAAACAGGCTGACATACCATTAAGTCAATTGGCAATTGCACTAGAACCGGAAGCAGCAAGCGTGTTATGTCGTACAATTGAAGTATACGTCTCATCGAATGACGGAATAGGAGGTGTGAGGAAAACTCTCTGTTCAATACCAGAAAAATCTACGTATCTAGTCGTGGATATGGGAGGTAAATCTAAATCAAATGGCATTTGAAATAATAGAAACTCTTACATGAATTTTTGAAATACACAATGTACAAAAGCCAAAGAAAATTTAATGTTTAGTTATGCTTTAAAAGTCAGATAAAGTCATAGTTCTAAGAACTGAAATTAAAAAAAAATGTATTTCCCTCTTGCATAAGCAACAGAAAAAAACATCAATCTTTACCTACCTGCTTTGTAAGATAAGTAAATTTAAGGTAATTGTTGCATGTAAGTGTTTTTGTTGTATAGGTGGTACAGTAGACATAACTCTCCATCAGGTCCTGGAAGGAGGAGGACTCCGTGAACTTCACAAAGCTAGTGGTGGGGACTACGGGGGAAACCAAGTCAATAAAAGATTTATAAAATTCATTGAAGAGTTATTCGGACAAAGTGTCATAGAACTGATCAAGCAGCAGCATCCATCTGACTGGGTTGAAATTCTTACAAATTTTGAGCACAAAAAGAGAACGACAATGAAATCTAACGATCAGGAGAGGGTTGTTATTAGATTCCCTGTATCATTTGTGGAGGAGTACAACAATCTGAAGAATTCAGACTTCCATGAAAGAATGAAATCCCTCGGCTATGGAGACGAAGTAGAAGTTAAAAAGGATAAACTTTACATAAAATGGAAACGTTTTAAGTCTTTCTTTGATATTTCCTTTAGAGGAATTAAAAACTGTGTTGAAAACATAATAGAAAATGGAAGTAATACAGAAACAATTCTATTTGTTGGAGGGTTTGCAGAATCACCTTATCTAATTCAAATGCTCAGAGAACATTTTAGTAAATTTAAAGTTCTTGTGCCAGAAGACCCATCTCTCGTTGTCTTGAGAGGAGCTGTGTTGTTTGGGTTCGATCCTACTGTCATTCGATCAAGAGTGTGTCGATACACTTACGGATTTGCAAATCAGAGACCATTCGTTGATGGGAAAGATAAGATTGAAAAGAAAACAGAGCACGGCGGACGATTTTACTGCGATGATGCTTTTGATAAACATGTTGAGATAGGGGAGATGCTTCAACTCGGAAAATTTCAAGAGCCGAAAGATTACCATCCATTGAAAGATGACCAAGTACTTATAATGCTTGAACTTTATGCATCAACAGAAAAAGATCCAAAGTACGTAGACGACTCATCTTGCCACTTAATTGGTGTAATGGAGATTGAAGTGAAACCACGAAAACATGGAGAGGACGGAACTGTCTCAGTCCGTGTCAATTTTAGCGGTACTGAACTGGAGATAGAAGCACGTGAAAAGAGAACAGGAAATATCACCAGATCAACGTGCAATTTCTTGGGATAATTCTTTTATGAATATCCAATTGGATTTGTTCTTTCTTTGAAGAGGCATCTAAAATACATTTAACTCACAAAAACATGGTTTAAACATTATTTGACAATCATGAATAATATTATTATGGATAAATTATTAGTCTGAGATGAACTCTAAGACAACAAATTTTTATTTTCATGTAGAGTTTGGGATTTTCTTTTATTACCAAACAAGCATTACCATAAGATTAAAACAGTAATAATAATAATATAAAACCATATCATTTTAATATAATCTATGGAACAAATAGGCATGCAATTGTTTATATAAAAAAGAAAATTGCATCTGTTTTTATTGTATCGATTAAGGGTGTCCGGAAGACAAAAGTACTTTTTTAAATCCTCAAGAGAATAATTACTATCAAAATAGCTTTTTATCTTTTTTAAGATGAAAAATTTTACGGGGAAGGGCTTTTTGACATGAAAAGAATACATTTAAATTATTTTAAAAGATTCTAAAAGCCATCATACATCATGTTAAGCTGCAATGTAACTGTTACATTCATCATGACTATTGCTTCAATAATGTTTCCTTTTACTTTATTAGATTCAAATAATAAATCTAGTGAGTAAATCAAACATCAAAGTGTTTTGTGTGGAGCCAGAAAGTTTTTTTTCTTTCAGACTAAGATAGATTTTAGAAGAAAATAATGAACTATAAATTCTATTAAAACCTTCCAAACCATTTTTTTTTCATTTATTACTTGTCTAATATCCCTTTGAAAATCTTGCAATGGTGGGGGGACACCATTAATTACAAATCTATACCTGACGTATGATCATTGAAAAATATTTGTTTCGTTAAAGCAACCACGATGGACCATTCTGCCGCAGTGGGATTCGCAACCAAGACGTAAGGACTTAAATCTGCACTTCTAATAGGGTGCTGAAAACACTGCACTACGCATGTACATATACATGTACTTTCAGTATGTAGAGCAACAGAAGTGACTCCACGCATCTTATACTTTACTGTCTTGTCAATCAGCTGATTCAACTTAATTGACTGCAACACTTGTTTCGAGTGCAATCTTGTACACATGACTTCATTGACAACTCATAATGTCGGCTAGCGAAGTGTTTACTAGTACATAAAATAGAAGATGAAATATAAGTTTTGGCTGAATGGCCACTTAATATTGTGAAAGGAAGTGATTTTTCACAGAAACTGTACATATACACTTCCTTATTTCATACAATTGTCATAACGCATACACAAATAAGTAAAACTAATCTGTCACCATCAGTATAAATAATTAATAAGGTAGCACATTTAGAACAAAGTGTATTTTATCTTAGTTTACGACTTTTTTTGTATGTGAAATAATATGGCTATTCTACAAGAGAAGTGCGATAATATTAATTCACATCGATGGGAAAGGAGCCATGAAAACCAAAAAAAAAGACTCTTTCTACTAGCGTATTAAATATGATAATATTAATGATTAAGAATAAATAATGCTGACAGAAAAAAGTGTTATATGAGTAACAAAAAGAGGTTAAATTGCTGCCACGAAACAGAAAATTAGTGTCACTTATTGCTATTCCATATCTTTAAAAATTTTACAACAGTTTTTGAAATAAATTGTATATTGAATTGCTTGTTAAAATTCATGAAGATGTTCCAGAGAAAGTTTTCATCAACTGCAATGATTACATGTAAATACATACTTTATCTAAAGAAATATAATTTAAGTCTGCATATTTAAGAAAATACCACATCAAAAGCTTTGATGTTTTTTTTTAATTTAAAGAGCTTTTTTCCATGTAAAACGTAGTTATGTTATACATGTACACTTCTTTAGAAATACTCAGTTCATATTGACTATCATCACGTTGTCACAAATGTACTAACATAGGTCCATGTCATACACTTTCTCTTCCTAAAAAAAATCCAATATCAAACACTGTCAATGATGAAGTCATCGGTACTCAAAACTATGTATTAAATATGTAATTTCCTAATCCTATTTTTATAGCTCCCTTTTCTCTTTTTGCCTATCGGGCTCTGTATGTTGTGCCGATATCATGTAAAGATTATTTATCCCCATTTCACTTTCTTTGCCGTAGGAAAAATTTTGATTTGAGGGTAAGTCTCTAACAACTTTTAAAAATAAACACATGCAAATGAAAAAGAAACGTTAATCTTTTAACCAATAAAATTTGCTTAATGTATACACAGGTAGAAGCTGTGATGTGTCAGTTCTAGATAATGAAACGGTGTCTATAAATTTATTGCATATAGGATTCAAAACCTGTCTACAACTGATTGATTGGAATCCTTATCGGATATTGAATTAAAAGAGAAATCTAGGATAACTAACGTTTATGATGGGTAACTGTTGCGCAAAAAATAATACACAGACGGTATGTGAATGTTTAGTTGCTTTACAAATGTTATCACATCTGGCAAGAAAACAAAACAGCACGACTTTCTACACTCTCGCTAAGATTTGTGCATAATTTATCGACTTTTAAAGGGAAACTTAAATATATAATAGAACTGCTTTTAGATTATTTAACTGTTGCGGAATAACTGATATCATACAAAAAAGAATGAATATATTTAATATTTAATTTGAGATCATATGAAAGGGACATACACGTTCGATAAATTTATGACAAACATACGCATTTTTTATGTTTGAAGAGAGCAGTCTTGTATCAACACAGAAACGATTATGAAACACAGGTAAGTACTTAATAGCCATTCTCTGTAACCACTTAAACTTCGTTGCCACGCATGGTCACCGATTTTGATGAAACTTCACCCATGCTTAGTACTTGGCACCAGAAACAAATATCAAACAAAATTTCGTTGCTATGTGTCTCGGTTGCTATGGCAACAGCCAGAAAAGTTTGAAAAATCGAGATTTTCAGCCACTTTAAATCTTGACTGTGGCTTAATAAAAACTAGAAAAAGCAAACAAACCATTCTCACAAAAACATGACACCTTGATGTCACTTATACTGTAAAGAAACTGTTTAGAATATATCTCTAAGTAAGTGGTAACCAAGGGTACATTTGGAATACATTTAAAATGCTGAAATCTGCTGAAAAACACTCCGTATTCACTAATGGTAGGTGTTACATGCTCAAACTCAATCAACGACTTAAGAAAAACAATGAAAATGTTTGACCTTAAGTATATAAGTATAAGCAATATTATTCTATAAACAACTTTTATGGTTGCCATGGTAACACAGTGTAACCATGCAAAACCAGTAACTAAGTTTGGGTTAATGCTACTGTCTTGAGGAAAAACATGAAAATTCAAGACTGGCAAATATGCATCATTAGGACCTTGCAACACCAAAACTATAACAAAAATTGGGTATAATTGCTACTTTGTAGTGTTACCATGGAAACAAAGTACCAGTGCTTAAAAGTGAATTATTTTTCGCTGCATTAAGAATTAAATTGCCATTTAATCAAGAAACAAATTAAAGGACTGAGCTTGAATAGTACTTATCTGTTAGAACTGAAGTTGAATATCATATATTGATAAAATTTGATGAATAAAACAACACTGTTGCTATGGTTACCAAGATGGGAAAATGTCCGATTTTTTTAACTTTATATCAATATTAAACCCTGTTTGCCAGCTTCTTGCATCCACTTAGAGATTGGATGATAGTCAAAATTAAAAGTCAAGTAAGCTGTTAATAAATATCTATCATAAAAGTTTTGGGAATCTACGTTTAAGGGTACGTATCCAAGGAAAGAAAATATTTTTCAGGATTTTAAGCATATATTTTCTGCTTATTTCCATAGCAACGCTCTATTTAAAGAATTTAATCTGAATTTTTTTCAAATGGGAAAACTTGGAGCACATAACATCTTATAAAATTGATCATTAGTTATGAGGAAATGTGCTTTTTTTAAAAGATAGGATCAGATTTAAACATACATAGTGTTACTTTGAAGGCTCTCTGTGGTATAAAAACCTTGGCAACCATTGCCAACCAAAATGAAAATCATATTTTGTTCTTGGTATATGTTTCAAGGCTCTTTTTTCTATTATTTGGTCACATTTCATCCTATAATTGCTTTTTATTTTTACGTGTATGGCTTTATAAAATTCAATGAATATTTTTTTTACTTTTGAATACTTTGTTACCATAGTAACGTATGTAATAGTTGATTTACCAAACATGTTTATCATGCATTTGAGACATCTGACCTTCAACTTTTGGAAACAGTCATTGCCAATTATTTGCTTTGTCGCAAATGTTAACTATGGGGCTCTAAACATGTTAAAAAATGCCATTTTTCGAACTTTAAGACATGTTGCCATGGTAACTATAAAACATAGCAACCAATTTTTGCCTGATTTCAGTTTAGGGTATCAATGACTTTTATCATAGAGAGTTTGGAGAAATTCTGAGACTATGCGTGCCACAGCTCCTATATAAAATTTCAAATCATTACAGAGAATGGCTCTTAATATACAACTGTTTATTTCCCAATCTTTTCTGACAAAGAATAACTACTTAGTACGTTAAAAGGTGAAGATAACGAACAGTGATTTTTAAAATACACTAAATACATGTACAAACCAGGTACGCAGACCCCCTGAAAAAAGGGAGTTTGGAGCCTGAAGTCATTATAATATTGTAAATATTAGAAAATTTGAGAGACAAATCAATAAAACAGTGGCTCATTGGTTAGAGTCTAAGTTGCATTAGAGTAAGGTGCGGAGTACAGAGTTGATCTTTACGTCGCGGATGGAATCTCACGGCTGGATATGGAGATTCGTTCTTCGGAATAAACTGTGTAAACTGTACTTCCGTGTCGCAGTCGGTGTTGTAGCGTTAAAGTTCTTTCACTGCGCAATGACCCTGTGTGCCGAGTATGTGTCAAAAATATGCAGCCCTCCAATTACAATTTGCTGTGTCTCAATATGCTTGTTTGTTGTTTGACGTCTCTTTCGAGAATGTTTCACTCATATGGAGACTGTCATTTGTTGGTGGAGCGCTGCAGATTTATACCTATACTCGGCACTCAGGGCCATTGAGCAGTACGGGATCTTTTTCGTATCAATACCTACTTTGACACGGGATCTTGATTAATACGGTTTCATCCTTTCTCATCCGAAGGATAAATATCAACGTTAAGAGGTGAATTCGAACCCACTTATGATCATCTCCTTTCTCGGCGACGCATGAGCAGAGGATCTAATCACTGCCCTATGCGTACAAATGCCTCATTATGAGTGAAGAATTATCGAAAGAGGCGTTAAACAAATAAAACATTTAAAAAGAATAAAGAATCAAGAGGCACTGTTAGCAATGAGCTCACAAAATGACACCCACGTTCCTTGGAACAGATTTACAATGGACATTCCCAGCATTATCCACTTCTCACTTTTTCAGAACAGGGATTTTAAATAACTTAAAACTGATATAGAGAAACAACGCATGAAACAGACTCACATAAAGGACACCCTCCCTCACACACACACACACACACACACACCCTTACGTGTGAAGGGTGTCAAACGGGGACAGGGGTTAAAGACTGTCAAAGTGGGGACTTCTTCATTTTTAATATTTCGGTGACTTTTGACTTAAAATATTAATCACCATGTAACCCTGATGACAAATATAATGAGAACATATCAATATCTTTAATTTTAAGCTGAGCACATTTCACAGCACAAACGGGGACCTATTTCACACTCATTAATATTCACACACCAGTTCTTGTTTTATTGTATCTAAACGGGGACATTTTCCAAAACGTATAAAATCCTCTCTTTTGTGCTCTTTATTCACTCATTACCACCGTTTTCATCACTGATTAAGACCCCTGTCTTCATAGGCACTTGAATGCTTAATATTTTGAATCAAATATGGAAATTACGAACAGTTATTGCATGATGAAAATATATTTTTAATTTTTCTTCTCAAATAATTTTGAAATTAAGGAATCTGTCTTAAATTTATCAATTTGGCATCACTGACCTCTTTGTCGCAGTAGCATGATTAATGGAATTTAAATATGGTGATTGCAACATAGTTTGCAAAATTCAAAGCTACTTGTTTTACATGTAATTTATGATTTTCCAAATTTTTTTATCTCAGAATTAGAGTATTGAACAAGAAAAATGATTGTCATTTGACATACTTACAACTATAAAAAATATAACAAAAGGTCTGAAGGGGGCGCTGATAATACCACTCCAAAAAATGACCAATATCAAAATGAAAAGAAAAATTTATATTGACCTTTTGATAATGGTGAGCTATTGAATATAATCGATAAACACTTAAAAATCAAATCCACTGCATTTACGTATACGCTTCATTACAGAATCGGAGTACGACGACTTCTTTAAAATATTTACATTACATTGCATCTTTGATCAGGTACTTTTATTAAAAAAAACATTAACTAAAAAAATCTTTCAAAGCAAGGACAATTATTCATTTTATGTTTTACGCAGAAAACCGATGATCCGGAATTATTATATCTGTGCAGTATTTTTAATGGCTCAAAATGTTTATGAATACATTTCACTAAAGTCAAATAATTTTATTTTTTATAAGAAATATACAAATGAACTAAATTAACAGAAATAAAAAAAACACAGGAGTTAAATATGTTTTCCACAACCGTTGCTAAAATTATAAAAGAAAATTTACAAGACATTTCAGTTGCGACTGCTGCAAATAGGATACCTTAAACCAAGAAACTTTTTGCAAAATCATCTGATTGCTTGAGATATGTATACTGTACAGTAAGGTTTAGTACAGTAAGGTTCGAGCACCCTCGTCCTCATTATTAAAAACATTATTTCAGAATGTAGACACTTGTGTTGTAGAGTTGCATTTCCCCCATAGCCAACTCCCAACTGCCCCACAGGGAATCGTACTCTAGAGCAGAATTTCCCTCCAAGGGGACTTCACACACCAGAACCAAATTACTCCTTGAAGTTCTCTCTTTCTTAGCTGCAGATCTGTAGCTCTCCGAAAAATATATTGATAGACCGGAGAGCTTCAGTGCCACCCATTATCTTTTGCTTGAATCTAATGAACGGAAGAATTGATTGAGTTCGTATCATGTGAAAACGAATTAATTATTTCATAAATAGTTAGTTTTCTCCTTTTATTTTATACGTCTTCTGATTTTTTCCTCTATAAAAGCTACGCAGTAAAATATGAATAATTCCCTAGAAATCTCTGCGAATGGACTAATCCCCGTGAAATAGTTAAATGATCTAATCCCTGCTTCGGAAGTTAATTCCCCGGTTATCTCTTATCTCTAGATTTTACTTTTGTTTCGGTTCTAATATGTTAAGGGGCTAATCCTCGTGCGTTAGTCCGGAAGCTAATCCCCGGTCATTCGTAATCCTTTATTTTTTTTTTATTACTTTTATATCGGTATAATAACATAGTCAAAAAGTATATAATTGGTGAGTTAGCAAGATTCTAGTTCCCCTTGACCAGGAGTATTTCCCGAGACACAGCCACAATTTTCCGCTGACTAATGAAACCACGCCCTCAAGCGTAGCAACAATCAACACTGCTTAATTTGATGACGTTGATATTATAAAAAAAAAATATTGATTGTGCAGAATTCATGCGCGCAAGGTTCATTATACCACCGCTTGAAAAGTGGGAGGGTATATATAAAAAAAAAATGGTATGCCCGTCCGTCCGTCTGTACGTCCTTCTGTTACGCTTTGG